CGACTCCCCGAGCCTGCAGCCCTCCTCGGTGACGCACGCGACCCTAACGGTGGCCATGCCTGCGGGGAGAAGATGCTCCTAGAATTCCCAGTTACGTAGGCACAGGCCACAGTACCTCGTTACTTGCCCTAATTTAGGTTTGTCTGCGGCGTTCAGACTTCGGCGCCCGTCACTGGCACGCCGGTACTCGGCCGCCCTTGTCCCTCCTAAGAAACACCACGTTGAGCCTTTCCTTCCACAGTAGCATCCCTGCGGCAGTTTACATGTCTAACGTACTCGGCTGTCTTTCCTCTGCGTTCCCTCTGACTTACCAGTCTTTATATTAAAAGCTCTTTTTATCGGTAATCGTACAATTTTGTACTCTGGCCTAAGCTTACCCCATTTTTCTTGTTAGAACGATCCCTGTCCTCTGCGCTGACACCCCCAGCTTTGTATCGCTCTCAAATTTCTGAAGCACAAGCCGAGGTTACTTGTGAATATACAGGGGAAGATCAGCTTTGAGACAACCTGTGGAACAAAACGAGTATCCCCTCCAACAACCCAATAAAGCGGCATTTAATGTAAAAAAAGAAGAAAAAAGGAAAAGAAAAAAAAAAAAAGATCACCCCACTCCCCTAGCCTGCTCCACAACCCCCTTTGAATTCCTGTAGGAATCCCCCTCATTTCCATGTTCAGTAATGTGTTTTGAGTCCAGGTGTCAGTTAATTAAATCCACTGTATTGCCTCTGTTAAGGAAATTAATTTTCTCATCAAGAGAGCGATTTATCTAACAGAATGTACTCCTGATAAAACCCTGGTGTAATTCCTCACCCTTTCCAGTCACCTCTTCGTTCATCAGGTTTTTTCCACAGAATTTGTTCTAAAACTGTCCTTGTTGTTGCTATCAAACTTGCAGGCTGTACTGCCTCTAGCAACTTTTCTCCCTTTTTGAGTATAGGTACCACATTTGCCATTTTTCTGCCCAAATCCCTGAATTTAGGCATCACCTACAAACCCTTAGACCACACTTGTAATTCCGTGTTTAGTTCTTTCATTATTTTAAGATGGAGATGGTCTACAATCTCTGATTTTCTCAAAAAGATTGTTCAGTAATGAGGCAACAGCTGTCTTAACCTCTTCTCTACCCTGCTCACAGTCTGTACAGTCACTGCTCTCCTCTTCTTCAGGCTAGTAAAATATTTTAACACAAAATCTGAATTTTTGGCATTTGTTTTAATTTTCTGTGTGTGGTCCAACCTAACCAAGTTTTTGGATAGTCCCTGCTGTAGCAGAAGTGCTTTGCAGATACCGTAACGTACGTTGGCCTGAGCTGCGATGTAACCCTTACACGAAATCTGACATCTGACTTGGATTGTGAAATCCACTATGTTTCATATATATATATATATATATAGTCAATGGAAAGAGAAATGCCCCCTCCTGGGACATTCAGGGAGGAGACTCAGGACACATACACGTGGTATTTTGAGGATTTGGAAGAGGAAGATGTTGAAGCCAACATTTTTGCCAGCAATATGTTTTACAAACGGTAAGATTTAAAAACCATTTTCGTGAGCCAAATCGCTACCTGAAGCACCTCACAGAATCTCCTCTCCTAAAATCTCAAACCTGCCAACCATACAGGTGGGAGGCACAGCACACCCATGACGCGTTTTTCCTGCGTGAGTGTATATGAAGCAGGAAGGCAACCTCTGCGACAGACAGCAATGGAACACGGTAGAAGTGACCAGATGTTTTCAGATAATGCCTCTATAAATAAAGTTAAGACTATTTTTTTTGTTCAACAGCCAGTTTTTCTATGTGTTCTAAGATCCACATGGATTATCTTCAAAATTCTTTTGTTTCATGGGCTTCCAGGGGAGACTTAGTCATATAAACATGAGCTCATCTGAGGTAAGAGATTCCCAAATATGGCTCTTTAAACCAAAAATAATCATGCGACCTTGAAATCTTGTGATCCTTACAATGTATTTTTTGCACTTGTGGTTCAAATGGTAGCTCCCCATTTGAAATTGCCAGCTGGAGTTAGATATAACTGGTATAAGGTACCTTCTGCCCTTTTCAGAAATCAACACTACAGATGTTATTCAAAATAAATGTTGAATCTAAAGTGGAGCTTCCGCCAATTTTACAAAGTAAAGAGAGTTTCTCTTTACAGTTGCAAGTAGCCCGACTTAAGAGAGTAGTTTTGGAAGACGTGGGATTACCCTAAGTAATATCTGTATCTCTTAAGTTTCCTTCTGACCACGAGCAGTTTCCTGCTAATATACATCACACACACATCTTTAAACAGAGCAGCAAACTTCTGCAGAGTTCAGAAAGCTGTGATTTCATCCACACGTGTAACGAGACCGTTTAAAACTACTGTCAAAGGCTGCGGCACTAAGGCAGGCAGAGGAGAAAATCAAGTACTAGCAGCTCTAGGGTAATTTAAATAAGGCTCATCATCACGATAGGCTTTTTCTCAAAAAACGTTAACTTTTTGGGTGCTGAAAGAAAGGAAGGTGGTGGTGACTCACCAGTGCCATAGGGACTCCGGGCATCAGGAAACGCATCATTACGAAGAGCCATAGGCTGAGGACTAGAGTAAGGCTGACACCAGCTGAGATGTCACTGGCTTTGTCCTTGGTCCAAAAAATAGCTCAAATACATCAGGAAACAATATAAACCCAGGAAACAAATGCCAGTGTTTACAACAATT